ACTTTTCTCGGCCGAAACATTGTTACCTGCGATGTAATCCGCCTTTGCCGGGCGTGTGTACACCGGGCGTAATTGTAAAACGAGCGCAAACCCGGCGAGTCTCATTAATATTTCGCTTTCTTCTTCTTTTCCTCCCTGTTGCGCGCGGGATAAAGGGAAAATGCGGGGAAGCTCTTATTTAAAATATATATCGGAAAATATCGGCGAGGGGAGACACGGTCGCGCGGCGCGTTTGTATTCCTTTAATTTCGCTCGGCATCCGCCGCGGGGGGGACAATGGGGGCGACACATTATTACGGGGGCGTCTCGCAGAGCGCGGCTTGGCGCGCGTGTTTGAAAAGCGTGTCGAGCTTAACGCCGCCTTTGTACGGCGAAAATCGTGCTCGAAGAGACAGCCGCTTCTCTTTTTTTTTTTTCACCCTCCCGCCCCTCGCGAGATTTTTCACGGGACGTTCCATTCGTACGCGCGTGCGAAAACGGAACGTCCGCCCCCCGCCCTCCCCCCCGAAACGTACGCGAGGAATACATATTATGTAGACGTCGCGCGTGAACGCCATGCATTCAAAGGAAATCGAAAAAATGCCACGGAGCCATGGCGATAAAAAAAAATACCAAGACTTTCTCCCCGAGTATGCATCCCTCGTGCTGCCGCCGTTGTTGCTTGCCCCGCTGACAGCTCGCCGTATCAATATTCTTCATATATGCGGGAAGCAGCACTGTTCAAGCGAGATTATATGTTGAAGATTGATTATGTTGCAGATTGGTTATGATGAAAGATGTATTAATTTAATGGAAATTACCGCGACAATTTGAAAAGAGAGAAGCGAATATCTGATCGATACGGCGTCTAATTACAGTCGGAACAATGTTTGATTGAATTCGCAAAATTATTTTGAAAAGTCGTGTCAATTATATAATTGACGCACGGCTGGTTCATATAACGATATTTTCCCGTTTTATCAAAATGCGCGGCGATTCTTTTCAGAAAAATAGATTTAAAATTTGTAATATTCATTTATAATATTATTCATTTATAATATTATTCATACATATAAAATCATAAAAATGACCAATTACATTTCTAAAGCTAAAGCATACATTAAAAAAACATGAGAATTCACCACGAATGCTAATGAAAATAATTTTGAAAATTAACAATATTTGCAACAAATTATTTATATTTTATTGATGTAACGCTTTTGAAAGGAAAAAGTTATTTTCACCAGCACGCGAAAACACACTTTTAAAATTATGCGTCATTTTTATATAATAATCGCCAAATTGTTAAATTTTATATTCAGCATTTTTTTTCCTAACTAAATAACGGTATACGTTATAAATGTAAAATTCTGATAAACGTGACAAAAAATATCAGCGGGAAATAACGCGTGGCTTTTCGCGAGTGGTCCTCGAAAATATCGCATATTTAATCGCGAATTGGCGGCTGTCTTATTTCCATAGTCCATAGTAAGCATACGTAATTAAGGTCGCATCAAGTGCATACAGCTGTTACACGCAATCGTCGTATTGGGTAATGTCACGTCGATCGTTCGCCATCGTTATGACGTCGGCGTCGATATAACGTCGCGACGGGGCGCACGTCGATTGCGGACGGGCGGCCCGCAATTAGCAATTAAAATCGGCGGCCAGGCCGATTGATTGGAGCCGCACGATATCCTGCGGGCCAATTGACTCGCCGATTATAATTACCAGCGCTAATTACACCACGACGACACTATTACGCGGGCGACGTTCGAGCGCTCGTCGTCGCATCTATCGACTGCTTTCCGTCATCGTGGGATTGCAATTCCGACAATTTCGCTCGGAATAACGCGGGAAACAGGGGAGGGGGGGAGGGGGGTGCGCGAAGTTTTATTTTCGCAGCGCCGAAATTGCAATCTCTCATCGAGATTTACACCTCGCCGTCTTCTCCGCTTTTGCGGGAGAAATTCGCGAATGGATTCGCGAGGTGGATACGAATATAGAAGAGAACGGACTTATATAACCATACGTACGTCGTTTTGAGCAAAGGTCGGTGTGATCGGTCCGTCGCTGGCTTCCCATTTGTCCGCGATGCGGATCGTCTCCGCCGTTTTCTGCTGCACCGATTTCGACTCGTCGAGCAACGTCAGCTCGTAAAACTCCTGAATATCTGCAACAGTCCGAAGAAAAAGGAAAAGACGTATTACCATCTGCACCGGAAGCTCTCCGCATTCGGAGGTAAAATCCCCCGTGGATCCCGTATGACCTCCAATTTCCCAGTCAGTGCGGGGGAGCAGGGGGGGGAGGGAGGTGGGGAGATTTCATTTCGTTTCTATCTGGCTCTCCTGCGTCGCCGCAAACGCCGCATGATAAATTGACCGGGGAGAGACTCGATTTACCTCCATCCGTTCACATCGGAGGAAATGGCCGAGTGACGTAACAGGGGGTTAACTGGGAGACAGACGATCGGTCGTATCGCATAATAATAATGGAATAATCGGCGGATCGTGGCGTTAATGCTATCAAGTACCCACTAGATGATAAACACGGACTTTGGGGGAGGAGATGCGCGTTACCGGATTCAAGGGGGGGGTCTGGGATCAGGCGAGCGACCTTCCTTGTTCGTTCCTCCGTCCCCCAAGACTTTAACGCGGGACGTCGTGAATGCCAGGCCCCGGCGCGATAAGGCGGTCACATAATTTTCAATAGTTACGCCACTCGCGTAACTCGAGTGGACTCTCGAGCCAGCGCGTGTCGTGGCGCCGTGCTCTCGAATATATATCACCGGCACCGGGATACGTCGGGCGCAGGTCTCGTCTGGGTCGAAGGAGCCCGTAACTCCTTGCCAGGCGCCGCTCGCGCTTCTCCGCAACGACGTTGCGGAATAAGGGATAAGGCTGTCTCGCGACAACACCGGATCGGACAATGCGGAACACCGTCTGAATTAAGAATGAACCGGGTCTGAAACTTTCGGGAAAATCGATTCTCTTCGCATCGCTTGCGGTTGCATTCCTGCATTCCTGTCGCGCAATTTGGTACACGCCTGTCTCTCGCGGGTGTTTTGAAAAGTTGCAGAGAAACATAAGTAAGCGGACAGATATTAATCCTGAAATGTGCAAGGATGCAAAGAGGTGCGGTAAAATAAACAGATTAATGTTCAAAGGAAGATGGAAATAAATGAAAACTGAAATATTAAATATTTTATTTTGCACAACAAAGATATTCGCTCAAGGTATTCCCTTAATATTGCTGAACATTTTGACAATATTTTATATATTTAAAAAATAAAAAAAAACCTGTCGTTATTTGACAGATTTCAAAAGTTGTAAATTTTTTCAACTCCATTTCCCTCAAGAAATCTCTTAATTTCTTCTCCGCAAACCGTATAATACCTTTCAGTTGAAATGATTTCTAGCACATATAAACTATATACAAACTTTCCTGTGCTTATTGTGATATTATTCTCAATTTCTTTGCCGGACGAATGAGTGTCTTGCGTACAGTAGTCGTTAATGAATTGAAATTACAGTTAGCGCTTTGAGGCATTACTCCCGAGAGCGTCTCGTATTAATTGCTCCCGCGTGAGCAATTCCTAAAGGTAATTTCCAAGTTACATCATTACAGCACCTGTGTGTTTCGCGCAATACCAAGCTTCCTATAATTACGCTCGTTAGTCGGTCAGGCGGGCCAAGTTTCCTTTTCGCCAAGATGATGGCGGTTGTATCGGAAAAATGATATTCCCGCCACGTCGGAAATTATCAAAGCAGTCTATTATCCATACACAATCAACACTTTACTCGAGCATAATTTTACAGTGTATTCATTTATTTATCTCGTTATAATAATATTATTGCAATTATTTGATAATGTTTTTGGGAAGTCGATAATGTTTTTGGGCAGTCTGCGAAATTAATATCATCTCTAACAAGATTTCAAAACTGAGTCAAGAAAAAAGATTGGTATCGGTTCTTCCTTTGACTTTTCTGATTTTCACAGAAAAGAAATGAATTCCGTTCGTCACGTCTCATTTCATTTCTACATTTCTCATGACAACTTTAAAACGGACTAGGTGCGAGTCCACCTAGTTCGTTTTTCGCTCGCGTTAGTCTCGAAAGAATTTTTTCCTCTTTTGCCTCGAGGCAACTGAAAACATGGGAAATTTCTAGAAATAAAAAGTTTTGCGGAGCGAAACATTTTATCTGTCGAGGAGAAATTCAAGGGTTTCACTCGACTGAATTTGCTCTACCTCTTCTCCTCGACGTTACAATCAACGTCGGAGAAATAATCTGTCGCCCGTGAGAAAATTTTAAAATATTGTTACGCGTTGCGCGCGTGATGTCTGAAATTGAGTTAAGTCGAAACGATATTGCACATTTTTCTCGATGCGTCAGTAAGAGAGAGAGAGAGAGAGAGAGATAAAAACTCTCAACTCGCGAGAGCTCTGCCTTTCATTTTCGCAATTCGAGCATCTCGTATGCTGCAGAGTCGGATATTTTACAGCGCCGGTGTCGCCAGAGGCGTTAATGCATTATAAATTTTCAAAGGGCGTCTCGAGTCTCTATCGCGATAAAAATGTACATCAATCCCGTTCGAACTCTTTCTCGATGGTGGCGACGATGGTGGCGGCCGGCCTCCCTCTCGCTATTCCGCACGATGACGGTAAATATCACCCGGCGCATTTCTCACGTGGAATGCAAGAAATATATATATATATATATCGGAGACTTATTTCAATCCCTCGCCTTGCACGCGACGTTGACGTCGGTATGTGAAACGCGCACGGAATTCTTTCCGATGATGGGCACCCCGTGTATAAGCGGAGGCGCCCTTCCAGCGAACGCCGGTGCAGCCGTGATGAAACTTATCTGACATTTCGCCCCCCCTCTCCCCCTACCTCTCTCCCGTGAAAGAGAAAGATTCTGCCGTTACTACCACCAGCGTATAACAGGATTTACGTCTTAATCCTCATAGTACATAAAACGCGGGATAAAGATGTAAAGTGAGATGTAAAGAGAATGTAAAAAGTCTCGGCCATCTTTCAACCTTTGACACACTACTTTTGGAGAAAACGACGGTAGAAATTAAAAATAAATCTATACGATCCTCGGCTGAAAAATATCCACAGACTCTGATAATAATTTTTTTCAAGTACAAAATGTTGAGACTGATAAAACTGCGCGATATTGGGCCGACTTGACGGTAATTAAGTTACCCTGTAATTGAAAAATATGAGCAAAATTGCCACTTGGGTTTGCCTGCAGTTTCCAAGCCGTTTCGCGCCGATTAATTTTTATCAATCGCCAATTGTTAATTATACAAAAGACACGCTTCACCATAATTATTCCATATGATATAGCGATAATTGATTGCGAGGCAATCACACATTCCTGTAACGTCATCCCTTTATAATTAGCCTAATGTAACCGATGCCATCGCGGTTCGTCCTCTTACTAGGCCAATGGCTGGGATTGCAATTAGAGACGCAGCCATATCGATAATCGATGCGCGCCGCTGATGGGCACGGAATAATAATTAGATTACTGGTACTTAAATCCGATTCGCGATATGTATATATACAACCACCATAGCTCCTCCATATCGATATCGCAATTGGGCCATGTTGACGTTTCACTTGTGTTCCACGCGTTATATTATATAGGTAGATGTATATTTCCTGATCGGTCGCGTGTATCATTATTATTATTACATATAGCTCCCGATATTTTCGAGTCAAGTTTCCGAAAGGTAGTCGCCGCCATAAAGTTTCGTCGCGTTCGAAACAAAAG